CCTTTTTTTTTTTTTTTTAACCTGGGTTTTAACCCCCCCGGCTTGGGCCCGTTAAAACCCCCAGTCATTTTCCTCCCCCCAGGATTTTTTTAAAAAAATTTCGGTTTTGGGCCAGGGCCGGGGGGCCGCAAACTGCGGCTCACGAGCCACATGAGACTCTTTGGCCCCTTGAGTATAGCTCTTCCACAAAATACCAACTTCTGCACATGGGCCACGAAGTTTCAGTGGCACTGTACGTGCTCGCCCGCACGTGGTATTTTGTGGAAGAGCCACACTCATGGGGCCAAAGAGCCGCATGTGGCTCGCTAGCCGCAGTTTGCCGACCACGGGTCTAGGGACACATAGCTGGAGGAGTTATCTGATCAAATGAAATCTGCTTAAGAGTTTTATATGCCAGCTGTAGGGGAAGGCTCCTGCTGGTTTGTGAGGGTCATTCATTACCTTGGGGCAGGGAGGGTGGGAATATGGAAGCAGTGCCTTCGAGGAGGTCTCTGGGTTTGGGCCCCTTGTGCTTCCACTTGCATTGGGAAGCGTTTACATCTCCCTCTTGTCTCTTCCTTCACTTCCCTCTTGGCTTTGCCCCCAGGGTTTGTTTTAAAACATGCTTCCGAGTGGGAAGGAAGATTATTCAAACTCAGGCAGGGCGTCTCCTCTTGAGTCGCTTTCCTAGTATGGTGTGGATTTGCTCTTTTCCTGGCTATGGCTCCTGAGGGGTGGAACTCTGCTCTCCAAAGAATGAGGCAGAGATTTACTGGGCTGTGAATGCTGGAGACGAGACAGGACCCTTTCCATCCCGTGTCACCCAGAAGCCAGGAAACCTCCAAAGCCCCGTGAGTCAATGTAAGGTTGCTTGCTCAGCCGTGGATTAACTTTCTATTAGCAGCTTGCTGAGTGAGTGGTGCATGTAGGTTTGGGGTCCTGGTCGTCTCCTGCAGAATCTTTGAAGCATTTCAAAAAGCAGGCACTTGCAAATTGCCCATGTTTTCCCAGAATATTGGCTCTCTGGAGCCAGCTGTTTGTCACTCCTTGTTTGTAGTCCCACAGACGACCTTTCTTGAGAGAAACTTCTGCAGACCAAGCTGGCAGTGCTGCTGGCTACTTGCTGGTCCTTGATTTCCCTGCCCTTAAAGTAGCCCTGCTGAAAGTGCTTATCATCACACTCTCATCTTGTCAGATGCTGGCAGATAACAGTTACTGGTCTCAGCAGGAGGCAGGTCATGTTTACCCTAAACTTCCATTTCCCAAAGAAGAAAATCCTGACAAACTCTATCTTGTGGGAACTAGAAGAAGTTAACATTCCAGCTGCTAGTAGCCTATCTAAAATACGGAGTAGTTCACCTGTGCTTTAAGGTAGCCAGTCAGCACATTTAAGAAACATTCATAGCCTGTCTTTTAGTACTTTTTCTGCCTGTTAGTCAGCAAATATTGAATATCTATTATGTAATGGGCTTATTCGAATGCTTAGGTTCCAGTAGACAATATTCTTAGAGAGTGATATAGAAGGAAGTAAGGGTTATTAGTAAGGTAGTCATTCATTCAACCAGTACTTGAGGTCTTCTCTGTGCCAGACGCTACCCTCGTTCCTGAGGACTCTGAGTTGGACCTACTTTCATGGGGCTTCTCCACTGTTCAGAAAGCAAGGAAGGAGTGTGCTATGTTTTGCTGAAACATAATTCAGGATTTGTGTTGAGAAGAGAATTGTACTTTCTTCTTTCCAGAGCACTTAGCTAAGTTTCTTTTAGTAGTTAAGGAAGAGAGAGAGACTCACTTGTCCACTAGAGTGAGTCCAGGGCTAACCCCAGAGTGACTGAAATGCTATAGGATTCAGGGAGAAACTTGAAAGTAGCATATAACAAACTAGAAAAGTTAGCAGTGGTGAGTTCCTAAATACACCACATTTTTTAAGCCCAATGAGGAAAACGTCATGACTGTTGGGCTGAGAGTTGGAACTTGGTGAGAGGGAGTGATTGCGAATCCTCCCTAATGCGTGCAGGAGGGCAGAGGTCAAGAGGAGGGTTGGCTGAGTACCTAGAATTGCTCTTTGACTTGGCTGGCTCATCCCTTCCTTAAGGGTCCTTAGTGGGTGGGCAGTAGGGAAAGCCAATAAGAACAGCCATCTGGGTAGATTTTGACTGCCAGCAGACCTTTTACTGTAAGTGTTATTTTTGGAAGAGCCCCCCTGGAGGCATGTCATCAGCTCCTTTCCTATCTGTGATCTGGAATTCTTTGGAATCCAGAAACCTATACTCATTCAGGAAACCGACTCCTGCGTAGGAGCACTCTATTTCCTTGTTTTCTGGGTGTCAAAGAATGTTTTTGATATATATATATATTTTTGGTCTGGCATGGCTTACTTGCGGGGCGGGGGGGGGGGGGATTGGAAACTCTGCTGGCTAGGCAGTAGCTTTTTCCTTTCCCCCCAAATCTCTTATAACTCTTTTCAGGAAGACAAAAAATAATGCCAATTTCTATATTGCTCCTGTATGTTTACTTCCTGTTGGCCTCTTCTTGGTCTAGGCAAGCCGCAGTTTGCCGACCACTGGTATAGGGTGAGGGTAGCATGAGTTATGCATCTTTATTTAGTTTCTGAGGTGAGAATGGGATGTCTGCAAATTTTTTAGGGAATGCTCAGGTTTATCTCAGGGCATCATTGGTGAAATTGGCTCCTATCTCTCTACTCTTTATTCTGAGCAAATGTGTCCTTGGTAGCATAGAATATATTGTGCAGGTGGTTGACATTTGGCCTGTATACAGTCAAAGTTTTTAACCAGGAATTCATTGACTTACAGTAGAGTCAATGACAGCCATACAGTATACAAGACCACCTGAAATAATATGGAAAAATTTTAGAATGTGTATGTGCAGGATCAGTTTTTTAAGGAAAAAAAGTCATAACTTTTATCAGATTTTCACAAGTGGTCTAGATGTTTATTCTGGTGATATTTGACATTCTTCATCTATAGGGAAACGTTTTGGAATCAGTCCAACTTGAGAGTCAAATGAGAGATTTCAAATTGTAAAATATTACCAATTATCCTTTCTCTAATTTGAACAGAGTCCAGAATTTTTTTTTAACTTGAGAAAGTTTGTTTTTCCTTTCTGGAAACACATTCTGAATTAGAATTAAAAGTGACAGAAAGTGATGGACGGATGCTTGAGATCTGATTTCAACATGTTGAACACATACCCTTTGCAAAGTTTCTGCTTGACTTACATAAAGTATAAAGTTTGACTTGAGGTTAATGAGTGTCAGTGGAGCTTTCAAATGCCAGTTGTCATCATGAGCTACCTGGGTAAAATGATAGACCCAAAAGAGGGTGCACCTCTTAAGACACTCCAAAATTAGTTGAATAAAAGCAACTTTTATGAAATTCTGTGTTGAAGATCTTTAGTGCATAGCTGAATCACCCAGTCAAGTACATATAAAAATCTCTTTCCTTCATAGGTTATTAAGTAGCTACTTGATTTCTCCCTGAGCCTGTATTCAGGGGATTCCATTTGAAGAATGAGTAGCACTGAATTGACACCTATAGAGAATTTACATTTCCGACATTATCCTAAGATTCCAGGAGACTTTAGGAGAGTGGAAATGTAAAACCAGGCCTCGATCCTTCTTTTCTAATCTTCATTCTATAAAAGATACAGACATTGTGTATAGACAGAACTAAGAGTAAAGGCTTTGTAGAAAGACCTCACTAAACGATGTTTTCATGATTGATTCAATTACTTCCACTGTGCACTCAAACAGCCATGCAGCAGCTCAGGAGCACATTAATTGGATATGGTCTTGGTTTGATAATTCACAGCCTGAGACTCAGGATCAAACAACAGCAACAACAGGCAAACTATTATGCCTTCTGCTTATTTGTTGTCCTGATGCCAAGTATTTCAGTGTTGAGGAAAAGGACATCCGTTATCATCTTCTACTGTTGCTCCGTCATGATTGTTAGTGAGAGCAGGGTCTGGTACCATCTCATTTATGAGTCTGGGATACTATTCGATACTCCTAATCAACATGCCAAATAATCAGAATTATTGTCTCTCTAGGGGCTTCCCTTAAAAGAATCCTTCAAAGCAAGCACTCTAGAAAAAAAGTCTATCAGAAAATGCATACTCCTACTTTCTGCTAATTATCACAGTCAATAATCATAGAGGAAAATCTTGATTTTCAGATGGAACGTGTAGGCCTGAGATAATTATATGGACATCTAAAACCTCAACTGCAAAGTGCAGGAAGTGACCTGTTGCTTTACATCAGAATCTAGGCCTCTAACAAGCTCCCTGGATCTTTGACTGTTAACCCTAAGCTCCTGCAAAGTATTTTGACCTGAGAGCTTTCGTGGGAAAAGATTCAAAGACTATAATAATGGGAGATTACAAGCATGTCTACATTTATTAACTTTCGTTGATGGAGGATTTGGTCATATTTCAAAATAATTAGGTATTCTTTCTACAGAAGGAGAGTAATCAAAATGGTCCTTTACATTTGCTTAGCTGTTAAGACATTGAATAAACTATATCCATTATTTTGACAAATGCTCAAGTAAGGAAAATAGTGCCAATGTTATGACTGCATATCATGGTGATTAAGATAATGCTGGAGAGAGGGAGGAGGGAAGGAGGAAGATAGATATTGCAGAATAAAAATATGCTAATTTTAAATGTTTGAAATGTTCATCTTCATAGGATAAACATTGTGAAGGAAGCAGTCTTATCAATGTTTCACCTCAGGTCATTTCTGGACTTTCTTGATAGCTGAAAAATGGAATCTAATTCACCTTACCTTTGTATTTGGGAATTTAATGATGGTTTCAGTCTCTCTGCTTGAACTTTTTTCATTTTGTCCTCATTATCTAATGTTCTTCTGATGCACGTCATGATTACAGAAATGGTAGTCTTTAATAGTTTTCAAATCATGACTCTTGCTTCTGGTCTTGTTAGTGAGATCATTGGGTTACTTCATCTCTGTCTTTCCTGATTGATTTTCCTCTTTTCAAAATTGGAACTCAAAATGTCCTGCTCTGTTGTGCAAAATATAGTGTCAATATAAAACGTGACCATGGCAAGATTGCTAGAGGATTTGGACTCTAAATGGAAAAAGCAGAAAGGCATTTCCCCCCCCCCCCCATTTTTCACTTCTTGTGTCATCCTTCTGTGTATTTGGGATTATGTGTCTGGAATTGCTCACAGATATATCATATCCCAAATTCTTGGAGAATGATATTGCTTGGCCAAGGTAGAATGTGCAGAAGATGAAGGGCTAAGATGAAGAGCTGGGTTTTAGAATTATAGATGCTCAGATTTGGAGATCTTAAATGGTCTAGTTCCATCAAAACTTCTAATCATTTAATCTCTCACACAGCTTTCCTCCGAAGTGATCTTTCTGATGATGGGGCACACCATTCTTCATGAAGAAGCTCATTGTTGGGTAGTTCAGATTGTTAACTTTTTAAAATTCAACATCTGGAGGAATAGTCATCTCCCCCAAATGCTCACCACAGGTCCCAATTTAGCCTTTTGGGAGCACAGACAAAAAATTTAATTCCTTTTTTACATTATAGCCTTTCAAAATACAAAGACAGCTTTCATGCTCCTCTGGAGACCTCCCTGTTGTTTAGTTTTCTGACTTCACACAAGTCAAGATCTGTACAGCACAGTTTTTTCATCTTTGAGATGAGCAGCATGAATCAGATGAATTTAGGGTCCTTCTATCTCTGACATCCTATGAACTCCAATTTGGGCCTCTGAAATAAATGGAACTTCTGTGCTTTTTCCCTTTCTTTTCTCCATCTATATCAAGTGTAGTTAATTCTCTTGAGTAGAAAAAGAGTAAAAGCATAGGCGATGCTATTTCTTAGGAACTGATCATTAACCTTTCAGCAATCCATTCAATTATGGTTGCAACAGCTTTGATGAGCACTAGTGGTACAACTCCCAGAACTACAACCAAGAGGCGCGAAGCTGAGGCTTGGTTTTCATGGTTGTTTCAACCATCAGAGTCTAAGAACCATCTTCACACAACAACAGTAATGGCTGGAAATGCGTTATTATTATCTCACTTCATAGGTTTTCTTGACAGTCTTCAATAAATCTCATTGACTTTGGGGATACTGTCAAAGTCTACAGTCCATTCTGGTTTCACAAATGTTTTCAATGATGTTAGAAGGATCATGAGCTCTGAGATCTATGTGTTTGATTTGATAGCACTATTAAGCACATTTCTTCTTTCCACTCTATAGAATTAAGATAGCCCAGGAGGAGGCTAATAAGGGGATTGTGAAAAGGAGCCAGGTATTTCTTGATGACAGACAAAATTTTGACTCTGAATGGTATTCTACAATGATTAAAGTCATTTGACATTTTTTTACTTTTCAGGAGGAAAAATACAATAGCCTAGCTAGAGCTAACAAGATATAGCAAATTTTGATCAGTGGAACTATTCTTGGGGTAGATACTAACAGATGAAAAGACAAATGTTCATTCCAAAAAGATAGTGTGAATCTGATTCAAAATGTAGGAAACCCTTTGCGTAAAGAGATGTCTTCTGCAGTAACCATGGATAAGAGGTGGAGGGTTTCTTTCTTGTGATTGCTTCCAAAAGGAGAAGAGGGAGATTTCTTCAAATCCTGGCTACAGTCTGTCCACTTTAGATGATCAGAAGGGTTGACTAACAAATGCTAGCTATGACTTCTCTTAATTAACTGACTTTTCCATCCCTGTATGCTAAAGTATTGTTGTGAACTGCAGTGTAGCTTTCATTTGCCTTTACAGTACACTAATATGATGCTAGAGAAGATAAAAATGAATTAGCAAATTGTGAATACAACTATGGGATTTTAGAAAAGACTGATGTATTTAGAGTCCAAGGGTTTTTGAAAGTAGCTTGACAAAGCAAATAGGCACATGTGAAACGTTTCCATTCTATTCTGGGAGTCCTGGCTTTAATGACATGTGCTTCATAAGTTAATAAGTGTCTCTATAAGCACGAGGGAGTGTTTATTGGCCTTTCATTTCTTTTACTTCTTTGGTTTGGTTGTGTCTATATTTATTCTTTAACTTCTTAAAGAGAATGTCCAGTTGTAAAGATAATAGAAAATTGGTTTTAGATCTATAGTTTAGCTTCAGAGACCAAGATATGATAACTTAGGGGTATATGCGTCAAATGTTTCACTTTCTTCTTATAATCTTGGGAATTCCATCGTACATTCTGTGCCTGATTTTCTTCCTTTGTCAAGTGGGTTACTTGGCATCCAGCTCAGCTACTAATGCAAATCACCACAACAGGTACGGATTCAAATATCATCACAGCAGGCTGGAAGCCAACTGAAGAAAATGAAGATGAAAGAGACAAACACCCCATTCATTCTGGATCAGGCATTGATGATGATGAAGATTTTATCTCCAGCACCAGTAAGGATAATCAATTACAGTAGAACCATTTATGCAAGGCTTACCAATTAATCTGAGTGATACCCAATAGTATCTCTTTTGGGAAACAGTTAATATGAACAATGAGCATAAGCCTCTGACCACACCTTGGTTATACCTTGATGAGATTTTAAAGGAAGAAATAGATTTTTTTAATGGAAGCCAAACTGTATTTGGAGGAGAAATGGGAAAAACATATTTTATAAAATTCCCAGTGCCTCATGTTCTTCCTGGTTTATTTATGTGGTCTGATGCTACAGATTTTTTTTGAACTATTGAACTTTGTCAGAAAATGGCACAGTAAAATATTACCATAAATATTCATTGTGTAGTCACTGTGCTAGGTGCTGGTAACACAAATATGAAAAAAGCCAGAGCTCTTGCCTTCAAGGAACTTTTATGGTCTATCGAAGCGATGGACTTGAGAATGTGATTGGAAAGATAGTAAATCAAAGTTGTAGATGATCCTAAATCAAAGACTTAGAAAGACTTAGAAAGGCTTAAACAATGGAACTAGAACTCAAGAATTGTCTTAGTTAATCAAAACCTGGTTGAAGTCAAGGGAATAAATCCAAAGTTTTAACAAACAAATTGGGCACCAATATAACAGAAAGACGTTGAAGCAAAGGACAAATGTCAGCTGAGCTTTAACAAAACAGTGACAATTATTAAGAACAAGTAGTGAAACCACTGCATAATAGTATTCAACTTTGGGACAACTATAAAACTTTTTGAGAAAAGAGGTGGAATTGAGCTGAAAAATGTCCTTTAAAAATACAATGATTGGTCTAATATTCTGTTAGATGACTGAGTTTTCTATTCAGACCTGTAATGATCTAGGATACTGCCGAACAGACTTGAGAATCCTGGACTAGATTTCCTAACAGCTCTGCTTTTCCTTAGAGAAGGTGTCCATTTAGGGTGCCACATGAGCTGTTTTGGGTTCTGTCCATTCTAATCTGAGAGTATCATCTCCAAATGGACAGCACTCAGGGAGGGAGAGATCCTCCCCCCACCCCCAAAATATCTTAGGCCTTAAAAGCATCTAAAAATATTGCATTGTTAGAACAAAAACTTGAGATAAACTAAATGCATTATGGTATACTCCTTAGCCTGGACACCTCTGCAGAGGTTAGTCTATGAAACAAGGAAACTCTTTCTAGTAACTTCAGGAAGAAAGCCAAATAACCAGAAACACTGGAGCTTTATTATTACCCTGTCTCCTGAGTTAGGATGTGGCCCCATCTTCCAAGTGGGGCCACCAACAAAGAGATGGTCTTGAAACATGAGAAACTAAACACTTTTTGGGTGGCAATCCAAACAGATGGACCTAAAAATAAATTGTATGATCACACCCCAGAGGAAAACTTCCCTTGATATTTTTCATCTTTGTGGTATATTTTCCAATTTCATTTCACTTTTCTGCTTGGCACCTGTGCACATAATTCAACAGGATGCCTCTCTCTTCTGTAAGGGTGTGAAAACTGCCACTTCTTTCATACGTATTGCGAATGTGGTCAATGATACTAAACCTGATTTTCTTGTGAAACAGAGATGATAGTTCTGAAAAGAGTTTTGTATTATTTGGGTATCAATATAAAGTTTGAAAGAACAGGATGGATTTGCCAATAACCTTTTCACAAAAGACATTGATTCTGATTTTGTTATAATCCTTCTGTCGGGTGTGTCTCCTATTCTAGCCCTATCATTTGGGTGACAGTATCAGAGCACTGGTGGATATATGACTCTTTCTTTCTTTTTCCCCACCCTGGGGAGCTGCTGTGATGGTGGTGGTTGGTTCCCTATGGTGTTTTCCTACTGAATCTATTCGTCTTGTTCTCTGCTCCCCCCGCCGTCTCCTCCCCTCTCCCCCACCAATGGCTGTGAATGGCTTGCTGGTTAAATGCTTTGTATTTGATGAGCATATCATAGGTGTTTGATAAATATTCAGAAGTGTATAGCTAAATCATATGGCTGATATGGGTAGATAATCTTTCTTAGAATCACCTATAGGAAAGTTCTGGATGTCCAGAGTATTTCTTTCCCCACCAAAACTAGAAATGAAATAAAGTGATTATCATGGTATAACTTCCAGGTACCTACCTCTTCATCCTGAGGATCTACATGTAATGCGCTTGCCAGTGATACAAATTCCTTGGGCTTTCAAATGCAAAGGGACATTACCGACTGCATGGATGGGCAACGCTCTGCTGGTCTTTGGTTATCCTCGGTGGAGGGCTGGTGTTTCCAAAGCTTTCTTTTTCCTGCTGCAGCTTCTTTGGCTGCTTTCTCCAGAAGATCTCATGTTCTGGCCCCAAAGTATTCTATGACAGAATGCAAAGGACACTGAGATGCTTAACAATATGGCTGGACCAAGCCGAAGGCCCTCTCTCCTTTCCTTCCATTTCCACTCAACCATCTATACAATCTGGTATAGATGATTCACTGGACAGACCAAAGTGCAAAACAGGTGGTGAAGGCTCAAGAAATACCATTTTCCTAATAACTTCATCATCATTACCACAGTTTCAACCACACCACGGGTTTCTGACCACTCAACCCAGAACCGGAATGGGAGCCAGTGGAGTCCAGGCTTTTTAAACCCAGAAGTATCACTTCAGACAACCACAAGGATGACTGGTAATGGGATATGCGTTCTTAATTAAAGATATTTTTTCCCTCAAAGTCTATGATGCTGCAAAGGTCAATTGACAGGACACAGTGGGAAATTTAGTTAATATCTCATCACAAATTCTTAGAGAACTTTCATGACGATACTCAATTCAACTTAGGGGTCATTTATCAATCATACCATCTGGGCACAGGATATTTTATGTTGCTCCATTATAAGAATGAATACATTAAAATGGTTTATGGTGTTGCCCTTGAGAAAGTGGTTATGGTGGAATAAGAAGTCATCATTAAGAAATTCCATGCCCAATGGTTTCTTTCCTTGTGAGAGATTAGTGAAGTCACTCAGAAGTATTGATAGTAGATGCTCAGGCATTGAACTCTTAAATATCATGTACTTTAATGGAAGAACAGAACCATCAATTTGGTTGATAAAAATTTACAGTGTATATAAACATCATACAACAGATGTGGACAGAAGTGGCACCAGTGATTATGGAGAAAACTGGCCCCAGGAGGCACAGTCTCCTCTCACTCACCATGAACATCATGACGAAGCGGCGACCCAGCATTCTACAAGCACAAGTAAGAAGGATGGTGGTCAGCAGTTCTGGGTGTGATGAGCCAGTGAAGCCATTCCAAAGAATAGGGAAGACTATTTTTAGACATGGCTACATCTTCTATTTTTAGACATGGCTTTTTTTAAATCCCCAGAGCACGAAGAGCTGTCAAATCTGCACACCAGTCTTAGTAATTGGAAGAAAAATGCTAACTTGCCAGGTTGCCCAAAAAGACAACATACTTAAAAAGTGAAACTTGAAAAATATCTGAGATGAGGTTTTTGTGTCAAAGATTCCTAGAGGTTCCAGTTGGGTGACTTGTATGTGTTTATGAAAATGTATAGTGAAGAGTGTATTCTGTTGGTGCTTAGTAGTGGCGCCTTGAAAGAAAGCTTGACTGGTGCCATGATCTTTGGAATCCTATTTTCTATGAAGTCTCTTACGAATGCAGTGTCTTCTTCACATTCTCTTCCTCACTGCATTATAGAAAGGCATCCCTGTACTCCTTGGAGGAGAGTTAATAGCTCAGATGGTCTAGATATGAAAACTATGCCTGTTCTTTCTCTGTCTTTAAGCCCAGGGTAACTTGGGGACTTATTTTCTGCTATTAATTCCACTTATGTGCAAATATCTCAGGTTTTCTAAAACACTCTCAAGTCTCACTCACTACTAGACGATGAGGAAAGGACAAAAAAAATAGGAAGTATATATTCTTCTTTCATCTGTTTCTTGGAGAGATGCCTAACATGTTTGGAATAAAAGAAGCTTAATTTAGGATAACAGCTTGTAGCATTTTTAAAACTATGCCTCAACCATCATTCTCATAGCCTTGGATATTCCTAAAGCAAAAATGTAAGAAACATCCACTTAGAATCCAAAGGGAGAAGCCAAAGGGGTTTGGGAACCCATGGTTTGAGGGATGTTCCTCAGACAACAAAAGAAACATTTCAGACATCAGCTAAGACATAGGTTAATAAGTCCTGGATATTGCACTGAATACATCTAACACGCCTACACCTCACTACTTACCTGATAGATTTGCTACATGCATGAAGATTATGGGCTGTTAAGAACAGAGTTTTCTGATAGAAGAAGGAAATAAGAAGTCAACTCTTCAGAATGGGATTCTGTCAAAAAAATAAATAATTACAGATTAAAAAAACAAAACACAACACATGCAAGAATAAACAAACAAAAAACAGAATGGGATTCTGTACCAGTCCTCTTTGGGACCCAATACGATATTTTAGAGATTACTTTAGACAATTTGTACTTAAAAAGCAGAAAGCTACTTAAAAAGCTTGGAATTCATGAGCCTATTGTCAAAAGGTGGTGGTGGGGGGTGAGGGGGTATCATTACTGAAGGGTAGTTGAAAAACCAGACACAGCAGAACCTCCCAGAGGGAAAGCAGCACCAGCCTCAGCAATTCTTTTATCAGCACTTGCAAAACAAAGAGATTCTGGTGGTGACCTCTGGACTTTATCAAGGGAATATTACAGCACAATAGACATTTCAAAGAATTATGTGGCTATGTCACAGGTCTAAGGAAAGGCCCTGAGGAAAACTGATAAAGCCCTTGAGTGTTATACATAAATGACCCTCTTTTTGATTATAGCACAAAACTCAAATATGAAGTAAGGATGTAATAATTTAAAAATTGGAAAAAATATGCAAAGATCCAAACATTTAATTTATTCTTGTTCTAAGAATTTGCATATAGTTAAATAAATGTAAAAAGTCTTATTGAATAAGAGCATTACACCTAGAAGAGAGTCAGCCTTTATATTTTACAGTGGAAATCCTACTCGGTTAACCCCTATGTTGAAAACAACAGTAGGGCTACTGGGTATTTAAAGGATCATGTTGTTTATAAAGATAATGATAGAAGACATATAGAGTAGTGTGTGTGTGTGTGTGTGTGTGTGTGTGTGTGTGTGTAGTGTATGCTCATGTGTGCGTGCATTTGAAAACTTTGAATCGACAGATTATGTTTGGATGAAATTTTCTTGTTTATAATTGCACTCAGTGGTTTTTCTAACTTCATTACTTGTCAGGAGGCAGTGATTCAGTCAGTGGAAGTAAAACTTAAGATTTTGAGGTCTTTTTCCCTCTCAACTGATAACAAGTGAACCCCAGTGCTAGGGCAGAACGAAGACAATACGTTTTATTTATTTATTTATTTTAAAATATATTTCTATTGATTTCAGAGAGGAAGGTAAAGGGGGAGAGAGAGAGAGAGAGGAGAGAGAGACAGAAACATCAATGAGAATCATTGATTGGCTGCCTCCTGCACATTCCCAACTAGGGATCAAGCCTACAACCCCGGCATGTGCCCTGATCAGGAATCAAACGATCACCTCCTGGTTCATAGGTCGATTCTCAATCACTGAGCCACAGGGCTGGGCAATAAGTTTTATTTTTATTTTTTTGTTAATCTTCACCCAAGGATATTTTTCCATTGATTTTTAGAGAGAGGGAAAGACAGAGAGAAACATTGATGTGAGAGCACATCGATTGGTTGCCTCTTGCATACGTCCAGAGCAGGGCCCAGGCTGAGAAAAGCCTGCAACCAAGGTACATGCCCTTGACTGGCATCAAACCTGGGACCCTTTGGTCTGCAGGCTGATGTTCTATCCACTGAGCCAAACTGGCTAGGGCAATAAGTTTTATTTTTAAAATATTTTTGCTACTGTAAAATTACAAATATTTTCTAAAATAATGAAATTCAATCAGTTCTACAAATTGCAAAGTGTACTTCAACTTGGCCAGTTTATAAACTCTCTTTTTCTTGAGAACTAAAAATTTGCTATTAGTTGCCTTAGAAGAAAATGTAAGTGCCTTTCTAATTTCCCTGTTGGCATCCTGATATAATTTCATTCTATTCATTTTGTCCTTTTAAAACTGGACAATTACAAAACAAAGGTTGAAATTTTAAATCTGTCACACATTCCTATTGTGTATATAATGCCAAACTAGCGAGAATAATTTTCTTCCATTGAATAAATTTTGTTAGAAAGTAAATTTTTGTTAGAAAATTTAGTTTTGCTGAAAGTGTGGCAATTTTAGATGCCACATAGGTATAACCTCACAATGTGCCAGTGGAGGGGAATCCCAGTCATTCCCAGCATCTTCCATGCTGGGCAAATCTGCTGGTGCATTTCCAGTGCCTGTGATGATGGGTCACATGACCACCATTTCAGAAGGCCTCCTACTAGGCTCTTTTGTCATCTATTGTTAATATTAGAGGCCTGGTGCACGAAATTCATGCACGGGTAGGGTCAGGGCCTATCAGGGCCTTCTGGCTGCTGGCCGGAGCCTTCCTTCGTTCTGTGCCACCCTGTGGTGGTCAGCATACATCATAGTGAGTGATCGAACTCCTGGTCTCCCAGTCGAACTCCGAGGGGATACTTTGCTTATTAGCCTTTTATATGTATATAGATAGATAGATAGATATTCCTTGTAATAAAATCACTGGAGCAAAGATTTGAATTATCTGAGCAATTCTCTCAGACAAGATCTATGAAGCCATAGACTCTAGTAAAATAAGAATAGTGGAATTCATAATCCATAGTATAGTTCTGACTGTGCCATAGACTCTAGTAAAATAAGAATAGTGGAATTCATAATCCATAGTATAGTTCTGACTGTGCCAATCTGGCTATATGACTTTGATTTCTAATATCCCTTTTGGACTACCAGTGATATATCTCTTCTCTTCTCTTTTCTTCTTCTTCTTCTTCTTCTTCTTCTTCTTCTTCTTCTTCTTCTTCTCTCTCTCTCTCTCTCTCTCTCTCTCTCTCTCTCTCTCTCTCTCTCCTGCTTTTCTTTTCTGCCTTCTATCCCATGTGTATATGTAAAGTAGAAAGATATTTGTTGGAAATTGAACAATAATGGCTCACAGTTGAAATTCTTCATACAGCCCAGGCAGACCCTAGTAGTGCAACAGCAGAAATATCTACCCAGAAAGAGCAGTGGTTTGCAAATGGAGGGCATGGGGAATATCTCCAAACGCCCAAAGAACTCTTATTCAACAGCAGGGGCAGCTGGTAATGGATGGTTTAACAAGTAAGCGTGGGTGGAAACTTCCTCTTGGGTTACATGTTGAACGTTGAGGACATTGAACAAATAAGATATTGAAGGAATTGTCACAAGATGTTAAGTTTCCTTAATAAGTTATGGTATGGTCAACACAGAGCCATCCCTTAAATGCTTGTAACAAATCCCCATAAAGGAGACACAGACAATATGCCCTTGTGTATGGCATTTTCAGATCTAGTTTGGGGCATTCCCTGGTAAGGTTGTAGCAGAGACTCTGATCTTATAAAATACTCCCTTTGGTTTTATAAATGAATCTACTCTATGACGTGGGACCACACTTTACAGCACGGTTCTATAAATTCTGGGCTTGTGAAGAAACATATGGTCAGAACCCCAATGTTTGAAGAAATGAAGCCAGAGATCTTGATAAAAATACCTGTCTGATGTCATTTGGCCCTTTTTCCATGTCTGTTTGGAGATTTCTCCTTGATTATACAAGTTTTTCCCCCCTAGATTTATAAAACAAATACATTCTCTATTCTTGAATTGTAGGATTGTGCAAATTGGACTCAAGTCTTGTCACCATGTCTAAGTGAGGCCTGATAACTTGACTCTGTGAGCTCCTATGCATGATTCTTTTGTGTGCATCACAGAAACATTGAAATACACCCTGCCTTGTAAAAGAACATGAGTTCCTTTTAAGAATGATATTCTCACTTGGTGTCAGTGAGAGATATCCCCATGTTTCCATTGGCGATGCGATATGGAATATAATGCATAATGTACTTCCTGTGTGTGGCAACTCCTGAATGCATTCCTGGCAGAGCAACGGATTCAGTGACTGGCTATGTGGTGTGGTTGGTTGTTGCTAAAGGGCTACTGTTGTAATCTTTTCTACCTATACTTCTTCATTGGCACGGGATGAAGCAAAAGCATGTGCTACAATTCTTACATGTCATTTATGCCATAAATCTCATTGTTAAAAGGTAACGCTTCTAAATTTAAAAAAAAAAATGTAATGCTTCTAATGGATTTCATTCATGCTTTTGAGATAATGGCACTTATTTTTATGTTTATCTCATGAGAAGCTGTTACCTGATTCCTTCTCTAACTCACTACCATCCTAATGTGCATTTCACTAGGATGTGGTTGTCTCGGAATGACATCATGTGCTTGGACTCTTATACTTCCTCCTTTGGGGGATGGTGGCGACCTGGCATGGGTCAAGAACTACTTTTTCATCTTCACTTGATGTCTGTAACTCATCTCCTGTCCACTGGAGAGGTCATTAATGCTTTTGTATCCTTCAGTTCACATGCTTCTTGCTAAGAAAAGGAGCATAAATGAACTATACCTGCTAAAACATTCTGTGTTTATGCAACTTCCTGGCCCTCAATACCAGGAAGATGTTTTCATTGTCTTATTCAGATAAAAAAAGTACATTTTTTAAAAAAATCAGTGTATCCCTGGTCTGATGTTAACTAACACTTTGACAATTGCTTGAACTGCATGGTCACACCAGCCTCGGCCCACGACACCCATCCAAATCAGAGAACGACAACACTGAGTGAAGAGGACAGTTCCTGGACTTATTTTTTGGACCCAATCTCACATCCAATGGGACGAGGTCATCAAACAGAAAGCAGAATGGGTAATAGCCTCTGAGCCTTTTTATATTATGTTTTGGCAAAGCCTACAAATGGCTATTTTCCTAGAAATCAGCCCTTGGTTTTAGACCACTCTACTTTCCTAAGAAGGAAATTGAAGTTTCTTCAAAAATTTGCTTCCTTTGTAGAAGTGATATGCCCATTTATCTGAATTTGAAGTGCTGAGCTGAGAGTGAAGAATTTGGCAGGAGAGTTAAAGGAGAATTGATCCTAAAATGAGAGGAGTGAAAGTCATTTTCTCTGAAGAGGGAGCAGTCTCAAGAGTCCTTTTTCATTTACTCCTAAGTGCAGGGCTTTTAAAAGAGTAAAGTGATGGATTCAGGGACTATTTCCACTGTAGACTCAAAGATATAACTTGTCTCTGGCAGAGAAATCTCAGAGGTAAAAAAATTGGTGAGTGCTCCTTCTGAAGAAATAATGAAAAAGCTCAGAAAATTTTATTGTTTACTCTTACCACATTTAGAGATAAATATGACACTCTGTGACCTAAGATTTAGACCACTCATGGCCCTTGATAAATGTTTGTGAATTTCATAAATGGACACAGGATGAAATCTCTGTTTTCTTAAACATCATTCATCTTTACCTATAAGCAATTAAAAAACAGAATTAAATGAGAGAGAGAGAGAATAAAAAAGATACTGGTTGTAGCTCTGTAAGAATGGAGGGTTGTGATTTTATTTGGCCAGTTTTTATATTTAAAAAGAAGTCTTCCTTTATCGGAACAGATGACAACTTTCCCTAGAGAATCCGCAAGAGTTGGTAGCAGATGATGCCCTTTTTCCAGGCTTCACTAACTTAAAGAATCCATGTTCCTTCTTTTTTTTTTTTTTTTAAATATATTTTATTGATTTTTTACAGAGAGGAAGGGAGAGAGACAGAGAGCCAGAAACATCGATGAGAGAGAAACATCGATCAGCTGCCTCCTGCACACACCCTACTGGGGATGCGCCCGCAACCCAGGCACATGCCCTTGACGGGAATCGAACCTGGGACCTCTCAGTCCGCAGGCCGACGCTCTATCCACTGAGCCAAACCGGTTTCGGCTATGTTCCTTCTTATACCCATGAAGAGTTACTCAAGTTTTGTTTTGTTCTTTAGCAAGATGCCTTGGTCACAGAAATGTAACATTCCAAAAAGGGAGATAAACCAAAGAACCAATATGGGGCTGTGAATTATTATTCATAGCATTGCATAATCTGGATCCAAGCTACGAAGGGCATGTATAACATGAACTTTATTGAAATGAGTTCCAAGAGCACAATGACCATGTCTCTTGGTAGTGAATTGAACAAAGTTATCTCCAAAATGAATTGAACAGTTTTTATGGTTTCGTATCTTTAGAACCCCCTAACTGTGTCATTCCCAAATTCTAATGAACAGATATTGCCAAATTACTAGTGATTAAAAACAACATTGGCATTAAATATTGACTAATGTGCAAGGCATTGTGGAGCCACAACAATGTACAATTCATGGTCCATGCTCTTAAGGAACTTAAAAGGTGGATTGGATCTGGTTTTTGGAAAATGGGGGGAAATCCTGGATAGTCAGAGAAAGAAAGTCAGGGAAAGTTTTTGTAGGAAAACTCATATAAGAAGAAGCATAAAGGAAGGAAAGCCAAGAAACAAATTTGTTAGAGTGAACCGATCCACTTGTCATAAAGGATGATGAGTTTGAATGGCGAGGCTGTGGCCATCATGTTGAGTGGCTGAAGTGCCACATGCAGACTGCACACAGTGAAAGAACTTCAGAACCAGTATTAAGTCTCTATACTGATGAACAGAGATTCCATTAAATTGATGAACATGACAAGGACAATCACATTGCTCAAACTATAGAACAGTGTGATACCTCATGAAAGATTCTATTGATATCAGGGAAGGTAAACAAGAGTGTCTAGAGACCATCAACAGACAGGACTTTTTCTGGGAAAATAGCCATTTGGGGTTTTGATTTGGGTTAGCTAGCCTTGCCTCTTTTTTGAAATCTGGGATTTTTTTCCTCCAAAGATCTTGATTTTTCTTTTCTTTTGTATGTAAGGGCTGCAGTGTAGGTATGGGTGCCCGATATTCCATTTTTTTCCCTCTGGAGTCATCTGGAACTGATTAAATCTCTCTAGAGGCAGCAGTGTGGGTGGACTTTGATCGGAAAGCCAACAATAGTGATGGTGTTTATAGGTTATTTGGCCTTTACTTCACTCAGGACTTGTTATTTCAACAGAATTGATTTGTGGTCATCATTAAAAAAGCATTTGTAAATATTTTAGTGAAATTTCTGTACCGCTCAACATTGTACATATTAATTTCCAAAGGCATCACATATCTGTGTTGACAGGATGACTGATTCACTGATATCCATGGCTTCTTATTCCTTGCCCCTGAATACTTCCTGTGGCTTCTACTTAGGTAGTAGTGGGTGATGAGTTTATGTTTCATTGCATGTTCCCTTTATAAAGTGGAAGAGACCAAAGGAGGGAAGAGGGCTGATAAAAAAGTTATTTTGCCAAGTAAGGGTGTGTGTGTGACAGAATGGTGCCTGAACCAGCACACTCTGTCCTTTCTCCATGTGTCAGATCCCATGTGTCTATAAGAAAGGCAATGTGTATGGAGTGGGACAAGTCACACTGGTTTATGTGTGTGTTTCTGCAAGGTTTGAGAGGCCCATCATGTGTTCATGAAGTCCTTTCAGACTCGGCAAAAATAAGCAAAAAATTGTAGCTTTCATAGAACTCAACCTTTCAATGCAAGCCAGTTACTTCTTGGGATCTTTTGAAGAAGCCATAATCTACTCCAATTCTGGAGACATGAATCAGTATGTGCTTTCTTTCCTTTTATCCAGGTTTGAATATAAGAATAATTTGGCTCTAGATCATCAACCACCCTCAGGTAGTGGTTTAGGAAATCCAACTATAACAATGATTTAATTCCTTCAGATATGGACTCCAGCCATAGTACAACACTTCAGCCTTCTGAAGATTCAAACACACATTTGGTGGAAGACTGGGACAGGACAGAACCTCTTCCAATGACAACTCGTAAGGATAACGACACTCAGCCCTTTATTGACTTGTGTTCCTGCTTCAGTTCTTGCTCACACTGGCCCAGATCCAGAGCTTGGTGGTGGAATGGTGTATTTAGTGCTTTGTGGATCAGTCTTTATTTCTTCTATATTTTCTTGGTGGAGGTCTTTAAATGTGATTTTCCTTTATTCTTGGTACTTTCCAGAGTCAATGACTTTATGTTTAAAAAAAAAAAAAAAAGTGCGACTCCATTCAACTTGATTTTCCTTCCCTAAGTAGTTATGGTAGTGTCATCCAAGACCACGGCTAGAACAGTGATTTTTCTATGTTTTAACTGACCAGCCCCTTTTAAAATAAATAAATAAATATATATATATATATATATATATATATATATATATAAATTGATTTCAGAGCAAGGGAAAGGGAGAGTGAGTTATAAACACCCTACTGGGGATCAAGACTGCAACGCAAGCATATGCCGTGACTGGGAATTGAAGGGTGACCTCCTGGTTCATAGGTTGACACTCAACCACTGAGCCACACTGGCTGGGCACTGACCACCTTCTTTTGATTCCCATATTTTCTTCAGTCAAAGCAGAAGAGGGATAGGATTGTTTTAATGGTGGTGAAAAGACAAGTTTGGGACATACAGTCATAGAAAATAGGGAAATCACATCATCCTATAGAAGAGGGGCAAGGCATATTATTGACAATTGACAAAGGTGGCAGGGCCCGGGTACAAAATGAGAACATTTGCTAATGCTTCTTCCTATCACTAAACATCTGGTAGAAGCAATGCTAAACTTCTAACAGCTTTAATTTTCATTATATGTACAGGGCTATCCTAGATATCAGCCTAAAGTCATTCATAATTTCTTGACAGACTATGAAAGAGTTCCAGAATTAAGAGGGCCTTATTTCACTGCTTGCTGCACATAATGGACAGAGTTCTTTATGTGTGCCCTTTAGACAAAGGAAAAAGTCAGCAAGCATGTGTTGACTGTCAGAAATGTAACTAGCACAATATGCATAACCCATGGGCGCAGACAATAGTGCGGTCACTGGGGGAAAAGGGGGACATCTGTAATACTTTCAACAATAAAGATAAATAAATAAAATAATGTAACCAGCACAGTGTTAAGCATTAAATAGGATGCAGATAAGCCAAAGAATGGTCCCGCCAATCGAGGGTCTTGTATTTCCACTTTATGTCCCTGTTGACTTTTGTTCTGATGTTTGGTTTGGGATTTGGTGAATGTTTCTCTCCTGGTTGTAATGTTTACTTGGTGGTGGGGCATGGCTTATGGGTGTGCTTTATGGGGTGCTTGCACCTGTAACTCAGAGGTCAGTACTTTTCTTAGAAGAACACAAAAGAAATTAACTCAAAACAGTCAAAGCGATTCCACATATGGGCAGTAGTTCAACCTCAGATTGCATGGACTACAGTAAGGGCCCTGTGTTTGCCCAGGCAAGCGTTTCCTGGAGTTTCAGCACAGTGATGAGAATCCTCATCCACAGATGAGATCAAAAACCTAATAATAGAGTAAAATGGGAACTTTAATTTAATGTTCTTCAGGAGGGACTAACGTATTTCCTTTTATACATTTGATCTGAGTTACTTGAGCAAGTTATACTAGATGAACTTCTTCCTCTTTTGTGGTTACGATCATACCACTTCTTGACACACAACTGGGTGCTCTTGATTGCTGATGGGAACACTGGGATTCAAACATTACTCTTCCTCTGTGTCTGTGTACTCTGGTTTTCCTTGGTGACTGGAAGCAATGTTACCTTGGGTCAGGATGATCTGGGATAGACATAGTTTTGGCTCAGGCTTCATGTTTGGCACATTATCTTTGTTGATTATATGGAAAAACAAACAAAGGCTCTTAACAGCCAACTAGTAAAACAGAATTCTGTTGTATGTTCTTATCAATCAGATGAAAATGTTATGCACAAGCCTTGGTATTCTTACACTCTCGCCTGTTTAACACTATATATAGCTAGATCCTCTCTGTCAGCAAAATAACAGGATTTGTTTTATGGCTTCAAATTAATGCTGGATTCATCCCTCATTGAAACAGAGCAGAGTCATACTCAGAGCTTCTCTACATCACATGGAGGCTTCGAAGAAGATAAAGACCAGCCAATGATGTCCACTCCAACACCTAGCAGTAAGGATGGCTTCAGTTATGGGTGTCTTTGCACAGTGTCTTTGGTGGAGGTGCATTCATTGGCTGTTGTGCTGTTACTTCTGATTAGAAGGTGTGCTGGTGATGGGCCTCTGATTTTTCTGCGTTGGAGACTTTTTAGAAGCCATTGTACATGAAATGCAACTATATGTCTTAATCTTAAAGGTCAGGTTTCTTAAATTCTAGATTTAAATGGCTTATTTGTGATTTATAATTGGTATAAAGATCTGAATTATATTACTTTCTATTTCCCTCGCATTAATTATAATATTTTGCCATTTATACTCTGGACCATGGAGTTAGTGATTAAGAAGCAGTGCCTTCTGGAAAAGGAAAAAAATAAAGCTTCAGGCCTTGGAATCTTGCATTGGCTATTCCAATCACAGACAGCATATTTACTTTTTAATTCAAAGATATGCTTCCTCCACTTCATTATAGGTGGGTCCAATTGAGTAAGAGCTCAAGATTATCTAGAACCTGAGTTGCCTTCAAGGTCACAGTTGTAGTGGCATAATCCTCACTTTAACAACCCAGGTAGATGTTACAACGAATGTCTTCTCTGGGTATTAGGATCACCAAAATCTCTTCTGTTGAGTGATGTCCAGGTGTTGTCAATTGCAAAATATAGATTCTGTGCAATAGTGTAGATCACACTATCTTTTGCTCTGTGTTCACAAATAACAAGTGGGAAGCTTTTGCAGTAATTGCATGTTTTAAGGACAAGCACACGATGGGTGGTGGCCTTACAGATGTCGGTTCACCATAGACTCCACCTCTACACAGATAGGCATGATGGCGGAGGTGGACATCTTCCTGAAGACTCAGCTACTTCAGTGGGAGGTTATACTCCTCATTCCCCAGACACAAAGGAGTACACAACCCTCATCCCAGTGACCCCTGCTAACACTGAGTCCCCTGGAGTTACTGAAGTTACTGTTGACGGAGATTCCAACGTTAATGTTGATGGTCCCTTGCCAGGTAATGTAGAAAAACAACACATACTTTCATGTTATAGGGGACGTTTTCTGTGTAGGCTGTGATTAGGCTTATTTGTGACTTGGGAAGGGTTTTTAATCATGTCATCATTCTAGTGTAAGTAAACTTAGACTTAATTGAGATTAAGAATGCTTTCATTTGCTGATGTCATTCCTATTTATTCTTGTGACTTGGTTGTTATGGCAGAATTTCTTTCTTTGCCTTGTTTCTGGTCTTGTGATAGATTAAGTTGATCCATGTGAAATTGATAGTTTTGTAGGTCAAAGAAGTTAAATATTAGCTATTTTATTTGATTCAACTAATAACATGCTGCCTATTTAGTAAGGTTTTACCCAACATGTGAATAATTTCCATATACTAATACCTTGACTCTGAATGTATTACCTCCTATTGGTGATGGATTGGTGAATTTTACTTTTAGTGAAGGGCTTGTGGATAAATCTCTAATTATGATGCACACTTAAAATTTTATGATGGAACCAACTATTAATAAATAGGCACTATCTCTCTTGTTGTAGTGGCAAATAGATGGCTGAAGATGACATTCATTTAAGTTGGACATGGACCCAGAATGAGATTGGTTTTCTCAAACAGTCCTCCTTACTTCTGCTTTTTTGTTTGTTTCTCCATTTGCGTTAAAAAACTGACATTGTAGAAAAAGGAACTGGAAAATACCTACTCTGGCTAAGAAACTAAAATCCTCTCCTTCTGGTTATTCAAGTACTTCTTACCACTAAGGCCTATTAAAGATGAGTGATTTTAAACATGCAGTAGTCCCCCCTTGATCCAGGGTTTTGCTCTCCATGGTTTCAGTTACCCATGGTCAACTATAGTCTGAAAATATCAAGTGGACAATTCCAGAAATAATTCATACTGTACATTGTGTGCTATTCATAGTAGTTTGATGAAATATCATGCCGTCCTGCTCTGTCTCCACCTGTGAATCGTCGCTTTGTCCCGTGTAGCCACACTATATATGCTACACACCCTTTAGCCACTTAATAGCCATCTCCGTAATCAGGTAGACTGTCATGTCATTGCAGTGCTTGTGTTCAAGTCACCCTTATTTTACTCCCTAACGCCACATTCACATAACTTTTATTATAGTATATTGTTGTAATTGTTCTATTTCATTATTGTTGTAAAAATTCTTAGTGTGCCTAATTTATAAATTAAACTTTATCATAGGTTTGTATGTATAGGAAAAAAATGGCATATATAGGGTCCAGTTCTATCCACACTTTTCAGGCATCCACTAGGGTCTTAGAACATATTCCCAGTAGATAAGGAGGAACGACTGTAATTTTTTTTTTTTGTAGCATAAGTTCTTTCCCTCCCCTCCCCAAAGAAGAATAAATCTTATGAGAACTCAATATATAAAACAGATGACTGCTGTGGTGACAGAAAACCAGAATGTCACTTGCGTGGCCTCTTTCCTCGGCTGCCCATCCCAGAGATAAGGAGGGACTACTGATAAAGTTTAATTTATAAAAATTAGGCACAGTATGAAATGAACAATAATTAATAATGAAATGGAATTACAACAATATGTAATAATGAAAGTTATGTGAATGTGGCATCTATAATAATAAAAGTGTAATATGCTAATTAGATCGGATGACCTTCTGGACGAAGCTGGGGCTGCAAGGGAAGCCCAGGTCCTGGGTGCCAGAGGGAAGCTGGTGCCAGCAGCCGGTGGAAGGAAGGCCTACTCCTGCACAAATTTCGTGCATTGGGCCTCTAGTTAGTAAATAAAATAAGGGTTACTTGAACACAAGCTTCAAGGAACATAGTCTTAGAAAATACTAACCTTGGCAATATTGGCAAGACAGAACCCCTCACACCCTTTGATTCTTTGTTCAACATGGTTCTACCCTCAATCATTAAAATTTCCAAGTATCATTTTCAGTATTTTTCTGTAGAAGTGAACCTTAGAACATTGTCTAATTTTTCTTAGCAAAATGAGGCCCGTCATGCAACATAATGAACTTAAATTTTAAAGATTACATAGATTATTGTTAGTAAATAAAATGCTTTCTACAAAATTGATATCCATGTACTCTCATTTCTTCTATATTCCATGGTGGTACCAACAGATTTCCATGGTTCTCCATGGATTAAATGGTTAATAAGGGATCCAATTCTCATTTTTTGTTTTCTTTCAAAATTCAAAAAGTGCTCATTTCTTCCAATTTTTCTCAGTCTTTATGCTTAACCTTAAGAATGAAAACATTTGAAATTGTGGTGATGGTGATGGTGTTGTTGTTGGGGGTGGTGGTGGTGGTGGTGATGTTGTTGTTGGTGGTGGTGGTGGTGATGGTGGTGGTGGTGGTGCTGGTGGAGGTGGTGATGGTGATGGTGGTAGTGATTTTGAGGGTGCTGGTCCTGGCATTTCAGCAAATTCTGTTTTTCATTATTCTAACCATGAGCCAAGGAACAAAGTAATGTGTCTCCTCTATACAAGTACACAAGCGATTACAGATCACCTACCTCCATCTTATGGGAAATGGTGGGGATCAGACTATGGCGTTTTCCTTATAGGTACCTTCATAATGGGTAACTATAGCCATTTTATGAAACCATTGTCCTTTTTTGTTTTGTTTTAAGATTCCAGTATAGTTTTGGAAAATGTGTGGGGAGGAGGAGGAGGAAGAAAAATAAGAGTTTCCATATGCTAAATCCAAGATCTGACCTGGGGATCCAGAGTTTAGCGATTCGAAAGCCTTTTGGTGATGGATGTTTGAGAAGATGAATTATATTAACTCTTGGTGTTGAAAATGCAGATTTCATTTTTGAAAAATATTACAATTTGAAACATATTCTAATAACCAGGAATACATTAGTCACACATTAGCTATCATCTCCCCCTTTCCTTTTCACTTATTTTCAGACATTTTCTTTAAATAAGCAGTTGACTTCTTTCTTTGAATTTAACCCCAAGATCTTGTATGCATACCAAAACCCTTTTCTATTTCCTGCCTCGGAGAATACTCTTTAAATGTCTCATGACCTAAGCCACAGAATACATGCATTCCCAGTGATCACATTTGTCATCATTCAAAACATAGAGTCCCTATTTCAAAGAAACAGTATCAAATCCCAACCTCAGACCCGTGAACACATCATGATAATTTTGTTCATGTGTTACAGTTATTGGGCTTCTACCAAAGCCACACTTCCTCTGGTCATCCTGATGGTCTATGCTGGACCAGGTTTCCTAATTTTGATGAAATCTCTAGCCCACTGATCAGTGGATTAAGAAATGAATAGAGATTAATATTGTGGACCCATTCACGGCTCCTTTGCTTACCTTTAAAAGACTAAGCTTTGTGATAAAAAGCAAAGGGCATGAAAAGGCAGACGTGAGGAAATGCAGATGGCAGTGTAACCGGAACACACCGCACTGAACCTTCTCTGATTGTTCCTTACAGAAGATGGAGACTCATCTTCCGACCCCAGGGACCATACCACTCAAAGATCTGGACCAACTGGTGAGTTTGAGCTGCGTTAGTCATTTACTCTCGTCATCATTGAACCTGCTGATTATTAATGAATGATGTTTGAGTCACTGTCTCTCAAAAAGTGGTTCTCAAACTCTCTTAGCATGCGTCACCATTGCGGGAAGGGCTTATTAAACCCCACTGCTGGGCCCTATCCTTATAGTTTCTGATCCTGCATGTCTGGGGTGGAGCCTGAGCATGTGCACTTTTACTAAGTCCCCCGGTGACGCTGGTAAGGCTGGAGCAGGGACTGTGCTTTGAGAACGACTGCTTTGGAGAAAATTCTTCCATCTGACAGGATCAGGGAGAACCTAAGCAGGGTCTCAAGGTAACGTTTCATGACATCAGAGTGGTTAAAAACCTGGGTTTTGGAATAAGAAAGGTTTGCTCCCAGCTCCTCCACATACAAACTGGGGATGTTGCTGAAAGGATCTGAGACTCAATTTCCTAACCAATAAAATAATAATAATAATTGTCATCAAGTCTGGTTTAAAAGACTAAATCAGTGGTTCTCAACCTTCTGGCCCTTTAAATACAGTTCCTCATGTTGTGACCCAACCATAAAATTATTTTTGTTGCTACTTCATAACTGTAATGTTGCTACTGTTATGAATCGTCATGTAAATATCTGATATGCAGGATGGTCTTAGGCGACCCCTGTGAAAGGACCGTTTGACCGCCAAAGGGGTCGCGACCCACAGGTTGAGAACCGCTGGACTAAATAATAGCATACACTGAAGCATTTGATCTGGCCCCCAGCACATGGCATAACAGCTAGAATTTCATCAGAATTTATTGTGTAGTAGGATGAACCCTATCAAACTGCCATTTCTGTAGGTCAATAGTCATATATGAAATTAAACATATTTTATATGTTTCATCTATTATTAACTCACTTGCTCATCCTACATACCCTGTGGCCCACATAAGAAGTACTAGTATCCCACTATTACAGAGGACACCGAGGCTCAGAGCCGCTAAGTAACTTAGCTGAGTTGCCATGACTAGTGAGTTGAGTGGTAGAGCCACGTTTCAAAGCCAGGGGTCTCCTATTGCCTCTCACAAGCACAGTCTAGAGCAGTGATGGCGAACCTATGACACGCATGTCAGAGGTGACACGCAAACTCATTTTTTTGGTTGATTTTTCTTTGTTAAATGGCATTAAAATATATAAAATAAATATCAAAAAAATCCATCTTTGTTTTACTATGGTTGCAAATATCAAAAAATTTCTATATGTGACACGGCACCAGAGTTAAGTTAGGGTTTTTCAAAATGCTGACACCCGAGCTCAAAAGGTTCGCCATCACTGGTCTAGAGAAAGCAACCTGTGGTGACCGTAATTGCCACCCGGCACGCATCAGTCAATGGATTCCTGTTCGCTGTGACTCGGAGCACACTCCTGGAAACATTACTCCAGGCAGCAAAAGTCTGCCACGAAGCAGGTTTCCTGATGACCAGTAGCGCTGGGGCCGCTGAAAGGCTGTGCTGGTGCTGTCTTACCGAGGTGACCCCAAGCATCGGCGGTCCAGGCGCCCCATGCAAGTGAGGTCATCCTTATAAGCTACTGTCCTGCCTTCATACCTACATTGGAAGTAGAGTTGCCTCCAGGCTTACAGGCTCGCACACTTAAAACGCAATGAAGATGGACATTTACATGGTGGTTTTAGTAATAACCTTTTACCTACGGGGACAGGGATGTAGTAGGCTCATCAAAAATGCTTCTAGCCGAAACCGGTTTGGCTCAGTGGATAGACCGTCGGCCTGCGGACTGAAGGGTCCCAGATTCGATTCCAGTCAAGGGCATGTACCTGGGTTGCAGGCACATCCCCAGTGGGAGATGTGCAGGAGGCAGCTGGTCGATGTTTCTCTCTCATCGATGTTTCTAACTTTCTATCTCTCTCCCTTCCTCTCTGTAAAAAATCAATAAAATATATTTAAAAAATGCTTCTAAAGTAAGGACCGAAGTCCAAGGCTCTCTGGAGCGCTGGGGTGGGGCAGTCAACCTTTCCCAACCTCAGTCTCCTTATTAGAAAAAAAGAGATCAGAACACTGGCCTCGGTTACCTCCTGGAGTTCTTGTGAAGAACACGAGGCATCAGGAATTTGAAAGTAACTTAGAAACGACAGGGAGCTGATACTAAAAGGCATGCTGTCTAAAATCAAGAGACTCCAACAACTCCAAGTGCGGTCCATACACCGGCAGCAGAGACACCACCTAGGAGCTGGTCGGAAACGCAGAATCCCCAGCCATCCTGACCTACTGACTCAAGATCCTCCCGCTCCACCTATATTAGGCTTGAGAAGCACTGCCTTAGACTGTTTTTCTCACAGTTAAGGCCGGTCGAATTATCTCTGTGCACACATCTCAGATTGGATCTCATCTCCAACTGAAGGTTCAGTGTTCCTCTTTGCAGAGCGTGCCTTCCGTGCCAGCCCTTCCCTAGCTGCATTTGCAGACCTCTGGGGCGCAAGGCAAGACCTGCTCTATCTAGTCCATCTTCTTGGCTTTTGCTTGAAGTGGGCGGGAGCGGCCTCTTTTGTTTGACTTCTGTGCAGGTGTCTATTGTTCAAACAGGCGGTTCCATCTGGCTGTATACACACACCCAGATCTTTCCTTGCTGGGAGCACTTTTTTGGAAAATAGACATAAAGGGATTATGATCCCCTCATGGCCTCCCTTTCAAATAGCAGAGGCTGCTGTGAGTCAGGGAAAGACCAGTGAGGGTGACTGCACCTCTGAGGTGGTTTTCAAGGCTAGTGATATCCAGTTTAGATGGCCAGTACCCCCTGACCTGTGCAGGTGGACACTGGCCAGTGACCACAGACTCTGGGAGGCAACTGGAGAAAGTGTCTTGGCTCTTTCTGAGGTTTGTCAAGTGAGAAGCCACTGTCACCATGGCATGCGGTATGTTGAAATGGCCAGACATATGGTAAAACTCGAGTTTAACAAAAATGTGAGATTGCGTAAGCAAGAGCCAACCTATTTAAAATAATCACCATAATCAGACTGTGCACAGTCTGAAGTTTGACTCTTTTAGGAGAGCTTGTCACTATAAGCCCAGCCATCTTCATTCATTGGCTGCCCACACGGACTTCCCTGTTTTGTTTTTTATCCTTTGGAGGCCTTCAGGATTCAGCAGTGGAATCCCACTCGGTAGGAGTTCATGTTAGTGGGATATTTTCGTTTTAGTGGGAGCAGTAAAGGAAGCATATAAAATACAAAGAGCCTGGCCAGCTTGGCTCAGTGGTTGAGAGTCGACCTATGAACCAGGAGGTCATGGTTTGATTCCTGGTCAGGGCACATGCCTGGGTTGCAGGCTCCATCCCGAGTAGGGGGCATGCAGGAAGCAGCTGATCAATGATTCTCTCTTATCATTGATGTTTCTCTCTCTCTTTCCCTCTTCCTTCCTCTCTGAAATCAGTTAAAAATATATATATTTTTAAAAAGGAAAACAAACAAAAAAAACCCCACACACAAAGAAAAAGCAGAGCTTATTCATTTGGGTGAGTCTCTCACAGAATGTCTTAGAGTTTCTTTTACAACATGACGCCTCTCTCATTTTGGTGAGCCTCCTGCTCCAACTTGTGGATTCTTTGTCTTGTGATGCTTCCTTTCAGTCTGAGATTTTTATTTGTTTTCTTCTTTTGTTTCCTAGCAGAAGAAACTGTTCATTCTTCAAATACAAAGCATGTTTCAATAATATATTGGCCTGCATCAAACGGAATGTTTCTGGGGAGAGTCTTGTAGCCCTTTATAAATGCCTGCACCTTCAGTGTATAGAGAGCTTTGCAGGACGCAGAGGCTGGCCCCATGTGCTGCTCTGTAAGCCTCCTTACGCCCTCCAAAGCTTGATTGACAGATGTTGTTTTTCCCCTTAGGACACTCCAGTGGGAGTCGAGAAGGTGAGGCCAACACAACCTCGGGTCCTATAAGGAAACCTCAAATTCCAGGTGAGTTTTGAGCTGTGAGGGGAAAAAAAAAATGATGCTAAAAGCAGGTCTCGCTGAATGTCCCAGAAAGAAAGAAGCAACCAGTTTGAAAGCACATTTTCCTAAATGTCCAACCCTTGAAACTGATAGTTCCTCTTTGCAAGCTAAAGATGGATGACAGTAACAGATCGGAAAAGATGGAACGTTCTTTTGTCCCAGGTCCCAAAGCAGGGCCACGTTAGGTCCAAAAGCTTTCTCCTCACATGCATGGCCGCTCAGGGGACTCCATGTCACACCCAGGTCCTGCTTATCGTGGTTCAGTTTCCCCTTTCTTTCTGGGGTTGGGGGTGACATGTGTAACATTCCTCTCACATTGCAGACAGGGTATTGGGTGGAGTGAAAACATTCTTCTGGTCCCCAAAGTGCTTTTTCTTGAGGGACGGTCTTCACTGATCCGGACAAAGTTTCAGAATGTGTTACGTGTGCAGTGAGGGGACAAGACAGCTGGCTCTCCTGAGTGTCAAGACTTAAGTCACTCGAAGCAAATGCTTTACTTGACTTGGGCTCAAAGTCAAGCATTTGTAAAGGGGGGTTAGGATTACAAAAAAGGAAGGGTTTTCCCAAGGTTGCATACTACCCCCCCTCTTCAGAGGTCTCCAAACTGAGCCTCCCGTGGGAAAGGGAAGAATGTGCTGTGGGCCCGGCCCCCTTGCCTCAGCTTGCCTGGGCACAGCTAGAGGCAGAGCACGTGGAGAAGGCGTGGGCTGCCAGGGAAGACTCGATGGGTGGGATGAAATTTGCAATAATCAGGCAGTTGGATTTTCCCCAGCCCCAGTGAGAGGGAATGGGGGGCATCTCAGGGCTAGAGACCCAGGAAAGAAGAGAAGTGCTTCTCTCCTGAGGGTCTCCCCACCTCCTGATTCGTCCCTGCTCCCCAAGCTCACCTAACCAGGGAGAGGTCAGGCAAAGGCAGCGCTCCCTGAGCAGGAAATCAGAGGAGAACCAAGACTCCCAAAGGCGAATGGGCAGTGACTGACTGTCCATCTTTCTTGTTTCCCAAGCTGTAGTTCATTGCGCAGATACACAGCCCACTTGGCAGCTGACTTCATTCAAGTTGTCCAGTCATATTTTAATACTTTAAATCTTGATTTAAAAACATGTGTATAGCATGTTATGAGTCCATGAGTGATGCATTAATTATTGCAGACATTTTAGAAAATGCAACTAAACAAAAGGACAAAAATACCAATCAGTTATCGACCCCACCATCCAGAAGTGCCATGGTTATTTTCAGAGATGACCTTCCTGTCATTTTCAATGTAATTTATATATAAACATGTAATTACACCATACATGCTTTGTTTAGCAAACTACAATTCTCAACTGGGGGGGCCCACAACTTTCCAAGGTGATTACATATTTTCCCCCACATTGTAGTATATTATATAATGAATGAACCCTAATTTATTCAAGCAACTCCTTATTGTTGGATATTAGGTTGTTTTCAACTTTTGCCATTATAAATGGCACAGTAATGAACATCTTCCTAGCTAATTCTAGGTCCTCTAAATTCCTGAAAGTGTAACTGCTGGATCGAAAGCATGTGCAGTTTGAAGGCTTTTGACAAGTTTTGCCAAATGACCCCCCTACCCCGCCCGTGAATGTGCACAAGTTCAACCGTCCATAGGACTGTCCTTTCTCCCACTCACTAGTATATGGCCTCCATTTTTGCTTCTAATCAATGTAAGGTGGGTGCTCTTACATAGGAAAGGAAAGTTCCTTTTAAGGGAAGAATACATTTCCTTCGTCTGGTTAATAACTACACCCAGGGCATCTACAAGTTTCAACAGTTCCTTCTACATTTTTTGGAAACATGTTTCTCCTGGAGGGACTTGGGAATCCTGACTGATGGTGAGGGATTAACACAAGAGGCCGGTTGGACAAACAGCTATAGCAAAATCTCTCTTCTCCTATTATCTGCCTACTGGCTGGGCCATTTGGTCGAATTTATCTGTAGTGCTGACCGTGGTTCTTGTTTGGGCCAGGTCCGTTTTATAAAGTGCATGTTTATTTTCACAAAATGTATTTCCCAAGGTCACAGGTGTCTTTTTCTTCACTCCCACCAGAGTGGCTGATCATCTTGGCGTCCCTCCTGGCCCTGGCTTTGATCCTCGCCGTTTGCATTGCGGTCAACAGCCGAAGAAGGTAAGGGGATGCTCCACGGAACCTTCGACTTGGAAGGGCATCATTGAAACTTGGGCTCTATGTTCTTGCTGCTCAGAGCGTAGCCCTTGCAACCAGCAGCTCAGCACCCTGGGGGCTTGTTAGAAATGCAGAACCTCAGCCCCCCCCCCCCCACCTCCTGTGTCAGAGTCTGTTTGGACAAGGCCTCAGGCATTCATGCGCACGGTACAGGAGAAGAAGCCCTGCTCTGGCATGTAATTACCTGAACCTCCCCTTCTAAATAGTGGTTGAATCTCTTGGGGATCTTAATTGTTATTTTTTTAAAATATTTTTAATTGATTTCACAGAGGAAGGGAGAGGGAGAGAGAGATAGAAACATCATGATGAGAGAGAATCATTGATCGGCTGTCTCCTGCATGTCCCACACTGGGGATTGAGCTGGAAACCGGGCATGTGCCCTGACCGGGAATTGAACCGTGACCTCCTTGCTCATAGGTCGATGCTCAACCACTGAGCCAGCTGGCCGGGCGATCTTAATTATTTTGAGATTAAATCCCGTGGAGACTCTATCTGATGAAAATTATGAAATACCTCACCAAAAAGGCATAAAATGATATATTCATTTATTGATTTATTAAACCAAATATTTATTAAGTGCATTCACAATGCACAAAAACACCATATAAAGATTCAGGGATTGGTCATCTCCTATCTGATGCCCATGGAGCTTTCTAGAACCCTTACTTAAAACAGGCATTGAGTCTGTGTGTTAATTTTGTAAGGACACTGTTTTCTATTTTGTGGACACAGCAGTTGAAAGGATTCAGATCTTGGCCTCGGAGAGCTCCCTGGCAGTGTGGTCTATGAAATAATGAAGAACTCCCTGTAGGAAAGTCTGAATAAAGACAGACAAATCCCTAGAACTGACATGGGGGCTGTTTTCATCAAAGGTTCCTCTCCCTCCATCCCTCAACCAAGGCCGATTGTTTCAGCAACTATTTAAACAACATATATTCCTGGTTGAGCTGTGACCAGGCTCCAGAAATAAAGCCACTTCAAGTGAAATGAAGGAAAATAGTCATTCTAGCAACAGAAGAAATGAACTTAGACAAGGATACTCCACAAATACGAGTCTCAATTTCCTGTTTAAGACACTTTCAAGATGCGTTTTTGCTCTGAGCATATGCTCGGGAACATTAAACCTTCTGGAAATGTCTCTTGAGAGTTCTTTAAGATAAAATAATCTTATTTCCAAGCGAGGGTCCCCTTTATTGTATCACTGAATCATCTAATAGGCCAGAAAAATGCCCCCGGGGTTGGGAGAAGACCTGGAGAAAATGATCGAATCCTTCTCATTGGCTTTTGGAAAACAGCAAATACCTAATTCCACTGCTGTAGGGGCCCAGGAAGTATCTCTAATTATCCGAGGAAATTAAATAATGCCGTCTGACGCTACCAGTTAATAAAAGTGCTCTATTAAAGTCGAAGAGCTGTGTTGCTCTCTGTACCTTTGAGGGCGCGATAAAAATAGTCGTGGCAGTTGATTGTATAGGGAACAAAAACTAGGAAAGGAAATCTGAAAGCCCTCCTGGAAGTCTCCTATGACTAAACGGAAAGAGACTTTTTTATTTTTAGTTGAATTTAAATAATGTGACTTGAGGGACCCCTTACAAAGAGTCTTTATACTTTCCCTCAGCGTCCTTGTTTTCTCTAGCGTTACTTTTGCTCAGTTAAATGTGAATTTCCTATTGTTGGAAATCAGTCCTTTGCCCCAAGCCTTAGAATGCACGGCCACTGCTCACAGGTACAGTCCATGAGCTTTGCACGTCACCATGGAAACGTGGCCCCTGGTGCTGTGGATGGGGGAGACCTCAAAGAAGCATCTCAGCTGTCCCTGAGAGCAGCCGGAGCTCCCGCAGTGCAGCTGGTTAGCTCACACTTCGCTCCCCCATCATGTGAGCAGCAAGAAGGGCCCCATTGCACCCTCCCCCTCCTCCCAAGGCCAGCAGTCACCCTAGCAACGGGCAAACAGGGACACTTGGGATCCAGCACAGCACGTATCTCACCAGGAAAGTAGCTGCCTGGGCGCCGTAAATTACCATGTCCTGATCTGATAATCAAAAACAGATTTGCCAAGCAACTAAAGAACGGTTATGGCTTCGCAGGCCCCTTCATGTGTGCTGTGTTTCTGAAGTCGCCAGCCTTCTAATCCTCTTAAAGGCTGGGCCTTTCTGCTTTGAGCATTACATTTTAGGGAGACACAGAATCCTGTTTTCATCAAAGAAAGTTTGGTTGAAAGCAGGGAACTACAACAGGCATTTCTTTACTCGGCAGACATCTTTTGAGGGGCGGGCTATGACCGTCAACCCTGGCAAGGAGAAAGAGAAGATTAAAAACAAAAAGTATCATCCTTTCCCTAAAAGAATCTTGAGGTTCAGTGGCAACATTGGCCTGTTGGATGGGACTCAGCTGACATGTATAGAGCACATACTCTGTGCCAGGCACTGTCGTATGAATTATGGTTAAAAGATAAAAATGGAAAAGCATTAGTCACTGAAGTTGATGTTCAAGGGTTGGCCACAGGTGTCCATGACAACGGCATCTGTGAATCATGTCATCTTAAAGATGCTTATGTGGGGGTCCCGTTATTCCATTAGCTCTTTCCATCCCCATCATAACCCACATCACCTTTTCTTGCTGTTCTTCATGTAACCAGAGTCGCTGAATTGCAAATTACAATGAAAATTGTACTTTATTCACTGTCCTTAAGAGAAAACTATGGTTTTAGGAGTCAGTTGGGTTGTTATATAGTCATTGAGGCTTAAGGGAAGAAGTTAGGTCCTTTCCCTTACAGAATGTATCCGATTTGTACAAAGAGGAGAAAAATGATGACCAGGAAAGGCTTCACCAAACAGGAATGATTCAGGAACGTTTCTACACCGACTGCAGAAAAGGCCTTCGCCAGATTTCACTCTCAAGGAGATAATCCTCTTTCCTGTAGACCCCAGTGGGCCGCCACCACCCTCTGTGTGGCCGGTCCTGCCTTCCCTTAAACTGCAGCCTGGCTCCCTAATCCCTGCTCGCCCGACCTTGTTCCACCCTGGAGAACACAGCCGCCCCGCAGAGCTTTCTGCGATGACGGAAAGATTCTACATCTGTCCTGCCCGATCCACAACCACAAATCCTGGGGGCGACTGAGCACTCCACATGTGGCTAGTGCCACTTAAAGCGAATTTTAAATTTTTATTTATTTTAATTCGTTTAAATTTCAATAGCCACATGTGGCTAGTGGCCCAGCTCTAACACAAAGCACAATACAGCTCTAAAATAGCTTTAAGGATTGTCAGATAGAAGAGACATAAGGTCGGTTGTTAAATTACCCCCTAAAGAAATTCCTCTGTGCCCTAAATGTACGTGCCCTCCCTCCCCGTGCTCACCCCATCACCCAGCCTGCCCACCCTCTCCTGGCAAGGCTCTAGCCTGGGTCTTTCCACATCATGTGGTCACTGTGTGCACAGCTAATGAAAGGATTTCAAGGCAAGGTGGAGTTTGGTGGAGATCTCTGACCTTTGGACTCAGAAAATCCTAAAGTCGTAGACACCATCGTTCGGCCATAGCTGGCGATGCCATCTCAGATGACAGCCTTGACTTCTGGGATCAGTCTCCAGTTTACACAATGAGAAGGCTGGGCTGGATGACCTCCCAGTCCCTTCAGTGCTGATGTTCCTGTTAAAATTTCTCCAAGAAGAATGAAAAAATTGGGACTTGAATTTTTAAAGTGCTTATGTAGATGCCTGGAGCACAGCATACTGGGCTGGGTTATTTATGAGAATCCTCCTGCCCTCCTGAAAGAACTCAGGCAGGTAACAGACGCGTAAATCCACAGGGAAACGTGGGCAGGACAAGGCCCAAGCCCTACAGGTCAGATGGCCTCCACTTTCAACACCAGCTTTGTCTGCGTGAAGAACATGAATCCTCACTTCACCCTAATGCCCAAGCATTTTATGCTTATAAATCACTTTCCTGCAGTATTTCATTCAACTTCTCAAGCACCCGTTACTTTAATGAGACACCTCTCTTTCAAAGAACACCGGAAATACCACCTGAGAATCTAGAATAGCATGAGCAGCGTTCCACCTTCAGCTTTTAAGTCACCTTCATGGTAATGTAACAAGGTGGTGGAGGCAACCAGAGAAGCAAGCAAAACCTATCTTCTGTGGTGCTCATTATATTGGCAACCACAGCCAGTGATTCTTAAAAAAAAAGATTGTAGAGAGAAAAGGAGGGAGAGAAACATCAAACATCGACACGAGAGAGGAACATCAATCAGCTGCCTCCTGCACGCCCCCTACTGGGGATCGAGCCCACAACCTGGGCATGTGCCCTGACTGGGGATGGAACCCTAGACCTTTTGGTGCACAGGCCGATGCCCACCCAACTGGGCCATACCAGCCAGGGCACAGCCAGTGATTCTTGAACATCTACTGTGTTCCAGATACTGTTCCAAGTGCTTATCCACGGCTTTGGTTTCCTCACTCAAAATGTTTGTAAAAGCAGCAAATAAAACACTCACAGATGCATGTATTGCAGTACCAGGCTCTGTGCTGAGGGCTTTCCACACCTTGTGAAGGTGGTACTCTTACTAGTCTGATGTTACAGGGAAGCAAGCTGAGGTTCAGAGAGGGTAAGTGAGTTGCCCAGGTCACGCGGCAGTAACGTCTCAACACCACGCCTCCCGAGCCCCGTTCTTGTCTATGTGGACAGCATCCATACTCCCAGTCCCACGGGTCTGCAGCATTGGTCAGGCATCCTTCCGCTGCCCTCATCAAACATCCGGCCAGAGGAGACAGGATCTAACTCCTATAGAGGAGGTACAATTTCTATTTCCCCAAACAAGAGATTAAAGTTTATGGCCTTGGCAGTCCTAGCAGGAATGGCCCACAATCATGAATAATAGAGGCTTTGTCTGGCAACTCCAAATATCCAGCGGCGAAGTGAACAATTCCGACTTCATACTGTTTCCCCGTCTCCAGATGGTTGGCAGCATGAAGAGAGCTGGGCCGAGTCCAGGTTTTGGGTCATAAAGGCCTGGGGTTGAACATTGACTCTGTCTTATGAGCTGTGTGATCTCAAGTTGGTTATTAAACTCCCTGGGCCTCAGTTTCCACTGACATATAATGGGAATAAGAGCAGCATTGTGGGGTTATTGTGAGGATTACATGAAGTTACATGTGAAGTGCCTGGCACTCAGGAGGTGTCCAATAAATGCTGGCTCATTGCCCCCTCCCCCCACTCCACCTGTAGTTGTGAGGATCTGCAATTGTGTCTTCATGAAGCACAGTCTGACTTTTAGATGTGCAGCAGCGATCGTGTTACAGGAAAGAGGAAGCATTGTGTCAGGCTGCGTGGGGTGAGGCGGTGCTATGACAATGCTGTGACACAGGGACAAGATCAAGGTCATGCTCTTCCATAGAAAACCTTTGGCATTTGAATCTTAAGAAATGTTAGTAGTGAGAAACCTTAAAGTAGCTGAACTTTTTGCCTTGTGTAGCTCAACCGCCTATAACCAGGGTTATATGGAAGGTAACCAATGTTCTGGAAAAAGCAATACGGCCTATAGTTCTAGAAAAATGTTGTTTCATTCTTCTCAGTACATGCAGTAATAACCCTGACAAGGCCAACACAGTGTTGACTGTGAGAGGAAGTAATGGGACTTATTTTTCATTGTTGACAGTATTATAGATATCCCCCGTTTCCCCCCTCCCCTGCCTCTTCCGCCTAACCCCCACCCAGCCCCAAGCCTTCACCACACTATTATCTGTGTCCATGGGCTATGCATATATGCATATACGTTCTTTGGTTAATCTCGTCCCATCCACCTAATGGGACTTTCTTGAATACACAAATCAGAATGATTGACGATCATCATGTTGATGGTTTATCTGAGTCTGTGGAAATTGCTAAAGCACTAATAGAGGCAAACATTTCCATTGCGTAGCATGGTGAAATGAGAACTAGAACTTGGGAGTCAGATACTACAGGGGTTGAGTAACCTGGGGCGAGTTACTGAACTTTCTGACCCCAAGGTTTCTTCACCTGTAATAGGGGATAATAACCGCATTGGCTTCCTGAGCTGTGACCACTGCATCAGAAACCCTGTGAGGGCTTTAATCGCAGATCCTGGGCCCCACTCCTAGGTCTGGGGCCGAGAATTTGCATTTCCAACAAGCTCACTGCTGATGCTTTTACTGCTGGTTCAGGGGACCTCACTTGAAGAAGTGCCAACTGTTAAAAGTCAGTAAGAGGAAACATACTAAGGACGATTATAAACCATAGTGATAATGATGTTGTCCGTGATGCTGATGATTGGGTCATTGCACCCTTTTCTCATATGATCTTTACATTATCAGGTGTGGGCAGAAGAAAAAGCTGGTGATCAATGGGAATGGAGCTGTGGAGGACAGAAAGCCAAGCGGACTCAACGGGGAGGCCAGCAAGTCTCAGGAGATGGTGCATTTGGTGAACAAGGAGCCGTCGGAGACCCCAGACCAGTGTATGACAGCCGATGAGACGCGGAACCTACAGAACGTGGACATGAAGATTGGGGTGTAACACCTATTCCATGACCTTGGATAGAAATCACACATAACCAATACAGGGAGCTGGGACACTCACAGATGCAATGTGCTACTGATTATTTCATTGGGGTTCTTTTTTTTTTTTTTTTTTAGCATAACATTTTCTACTCCTTTTTGTTTATTGTGCTTTGTTTTTTGAAGTCAGTCAATTTATAAAAAGAGCATTGCTTTCTGAAATGAGGGCCCAATTAACCATCGGCAAGATTTTGACTTAAGCCTCCCACTCCCTGGGGTATGCTATGGATGGCGTCTAAAAAAAGCCATAAATGCATCTTTCTGATCCTCAACCTTCCCTCCACCCCACCTCCCAGATGACAGCCGCATGCTAAGGACACCCCCCCCCCCCCCAGAGCTAAGAGGAACTGGTTCCTGAAAGGAAATCTGAATGGGTTCATATTGTCCATCTAGGGGCCCAGTCCCTAGGCATTGCTTTCCATGGGGGTAGGGGACTGGGATGTACTGGTTATACATCCTTTTCCACAGACGCCCTGGAAATTTTCCCAATGCTATTGAGAATGCCCAAAGGGTCAAGCTATTTATCTGTAGTAAGCTATTTATCTGTGTTTTTGAAATATGAAACCCTGGAGGTCCTGTAATTAGTATGATTTTTTTTTTGTTTTGTTACTTTGTCAGAAGCATAAAAAGGGTTTAAGTTGATTCATAATAAACAGCTGTGTTTCTTCCACTTTTACCCTTTGTGCTGTGATCCTTCAGTGTCTTAACCAGCAAGGTCTGGGTCCCAACAGCTCATCAGGAAGATGTGGGAGGGTTCCCTGGAAGACTTCCTCTCAGAGCTAAGTCCCTACTCAGACTCCCCTCACTCAAATCTCATAGAAGATCCAGGAAGGCAGTTGAGTTTCTGAGGCTCAAAGGCTTTCTGTCTGGTCCTAGAACCAAAATTGTGAGAGGAGGGACTTCGGCAACTTTCCTGTTATAATGGCCACCTATTCTCTCCTTGAAGGGCTATGAAAAGTCACATTACATTTGCATGACGTACTATTGTGGTGTCCCCTTCCACTGACCCCATTAGTGATGTCCAAAAACAATATGAAAGTGCCTTCTGGCCTCTTGTAACCAAGGAGAAGCCGTGGACATGAAAGAGCATAGACAGTAGCCACTGGTTGCACAGGTTGGGGGAGTGGGGGAGGGAGCAGTGTAGATCCTGTTTGAGTATTTTTATGGCCGTATTTGTTTATACTTTAACATTCCAGTTTCTGTTCCCAATGACGGTGCTACTCAGAAAGTTAAGTGCCTGGGGAATCTCAAAAGGTTAACAGGGTTTCCTACCTACTCAGTCTTATTACCAGATACCAGGTTTATGGCCCAATAAAAGATTAATGGCTTTATCCCTTGGTTCTCAAGTCCTCTGTGGTCTTCATTCACAACTTCAGAAAGCCCCATTCATTCTGGGACTTCCAAAGGCTACTTATAATAGAAGAGATTAGATCTCTATAGTAAGAGCTCCTATAAAATGGGGCCTCCTTCATTAGACCTCTATAAAAAGTTATCTGTTGCCTAAACTAATATGCTTAACTGGCAATATTTCTCAGACAAAAAGAAAAAGAACCAGAAGGACGAGGAGGAGGAAGAGAAGGAAGAGGAAGGGGGGGAGAGGGAGGAGGAAGAAGAGAAGAAGGAGGAAGAGAATGTGGAAAGGAGGAGGAGGAAGAGAAAGAGAAGGAGAAGAAGAGGAGATAGGAGGAGAGGGAGAAAGAGAGAAAGGAAGTGGAGAAGGAGGAATAAGGAAGTCTAGAGCTTCCATCTCTTAGGGGCACTATACTTGTACTATTGCCTGAAGTTCATGGACTAGGATGCATTCTCTCCCATTTGACGTTATTATAGTGTAACTCCAGAAGCGCAGCTTGGCTACACATCATTCCTACCAGTGACTTGGGCTAAGTCATTCACCTGGGCTTTGCTTCTATTAGTGAGGGGCCAGCATTTCATTGTTTTGCAAAGTTAAAAGAGGAAAGATGAGAAGCCTGCAAAGCTGAGAGCTTAAGAGGTAATTTTTCCTGTAATCATAAATCTTTTATGTCTCCTGAGGGCTCCTTTTAAATTAGCACTGGGTGAAAAATAAAATGGGACAAAAGACACCTTCATATCTATACTTTGCAGACTTTAACCTGCAGAATGGATTTCTCCAACAAAACCCCTCAAAAAGTTGTACATCAAGACTATGACACCAAGGACCAATTTCTTAGCCAATGTCCATTCAATGCTGTTTTAGTGGGAGTAGGAGGAAGGAAACCTCCCACTTCTGTAGAAGATAAAATGTGCTTCCGGAACAAGAATAGAATGGTTCATTCACCTTTGTGTCATAGTTATGCCTTTTGTAAATCACTTTGAGTTTTCCAAGAGTATTTTATTGTTTGCATGTGTCTGGTGACCATTGTTATTTTGATTTTTCACAATACTCCCTTCCTCAGACTTTTGTATATTTATTGACGGGCCAGTAACAAGGAAAGCATGATATGTATATTGCCCAGTTGAAAGCATTTATTGGAAACTATTAAAAGGATACTGTTGAAACATTAAATAAAATGGACTCAGGAATCTCTGTTTTAAGGGGGATGGGAACCTGGGAGGGGCGCAGCTGGGATTATCTGCCTGTCTGGGTAATTTAGAAGCACAAGGTCAAAGGTTTAGGAGGTGGCTGAGGCTTCACACTCACGTTATTTTTTCTAAAAGGAAAAACTTCATGGGTTTCCATCACTTGAGAAACTTCTTTTGGAGGAAGTTTAATATTCCATGAAAGGCGTGTGGTCCACATATTTCAAACTAAATGAGATATGAAGTGTTAGTTCTTTAAAGCCAAGAACTACTCCTGGACTTCCAGGTAAAGAGAGGAGAGTGAACATACCTCCATTTCCTCATGCAAGACTCAAAGGACAATAAGAGGTATTCCAAAAGGCATAAACCAGCCGGGCCAAGGAAAATGGAGGAAGAGGCCATAGTAACACAATCTGAAGCTGGACAGTGATGGCTCATTGGTAACTGACTGAGTAAATGGGGAAAGTTGAGAAGCAACCATATTTCTGTAGCAGAACCCCATCCCCACCCCCAACAAGGCCCAGGAATTGGCAGCATCAGCTACCTCTGGATATGGTAGAGAAGGCGGGACTAAAATGATGAGGGTGGCTTTAAAGTCTACTTAAAAACCCCAGATCTCCTTCCCCACTCTAAGTAGCTGAGTGACTGCTCTTTCCCAAGGCCAGCAAGTGACCGGAAGTTTATCCTCTGAAGGGGGCAAAAGAAAGAGTCTCTGAAGGAAAACAAGGCACACACAGTTGACACTGGAAAGTGAAGCCATGCGTAAGGAATGTCAAGACTGCCTAGCCAAGCATGGATCCTCCGGGCAGAAGTTCAGTCTTTCTGGGGAATCTGATAAGCCTGAGAGAAAACCGTAAAGATACTAACATGATAGTTCCCCAAGGACATTAGCCCAGCAAAGCAATCTACAGTGAGGATCACAACTCAAGCTTCAGCAGGACCCACCGGCTCTTAGCTTTCTATAGTTCACTCTTACACATGAGAAATTGAGGAGATTCACAGAGAAGAAAACTTAAAAATAAAACACATCATTAATAACCTCAGTAAGATAAGAGGAGATCGTGTATCTAATGAAACAAGAACACAATGCTAGGGCAAGAACATTCAGGGAACACCTAAAGAAAAGGAGCTTTTAAAAATCTAAACATGAAAGCACAGATTTAAAAATAAACTCAATAGAAGGTTTAGAAAATACAGTTGTAGAAATGTCCCAGAAAATAGAGTGAAGACAAAGAAATGGAAACAGATGAGAAAAGTGGAGAACCATTCTAGGAAACCTAACATGCAAATAATAGGAGTTGCAGAAAGAGAGAAAATGAGAAAGAAATCATCCAATAAATAAATCAAAACCATTTCCCAGAATTGAAGAATATGAATATCTAGCTCAGTGCAATAGATGAAAACAGAGCCACAACAAAGCACATCATTTTAAGAAGTCATAACAATGGAGGCAAAATAGATTATTCCATAAGCTCTAGAGAGAGAAAAAATTGAAAGCGAAGAAGATCAAGAATCAAAATAGAATCAGACTTTCCCAATAGCCATATTGAAGACCATGAAACAGTGCCTTCAAAATCCTGAGGGAAATGTTTCCAAGCTAGAACTCTAATTTAGCTGAACCACACATTAAGTGAAAGGGTAGAATAAAGACATTTTAAATAGGCACTGTCGTCAAACCTACTCACCCATTCTCAGGCAACTCCCAAGGGATGTACTCCAGCAAAACAAGGGAGTTGCCAAGAAAGGGGAAGGCGTGAGCTTCAGAAAACAAAGTAAAGGGAATTCCTAAAATGATGATAAAGGGGGATCCCGAGATGACAGCCGTACAGCAGCTCTAGGGAACAATCAGTCCAAACTGAAGCGCTAACAAATGAAGCAATAAAGCCCTGGATTCATCCACCTCTAATTAAAGAGAAAGTTACTTTTTGGTTATATTAGTTAACTACTGATACCTTAAAAACCACTCCAAAATGCAGCGTACATTTATTTTTTATGAGTCCACCCATTGACTAGGTGCTTCTACTGATCGGGGCAGGGCTCAGTTGAGCATGACAACACTCACACAGGTGTCTGTGGTCAACACACTGGTCTACATGGCTTCATCTGGGATGGCTGGGTGACTGGAGTCTCTTTGTGTGTCCCTCACGTCCTTCAGCTGCCTCGTCCAGGGATCCAAGTGACAGCAGATGCCACAAGGCCTCTTGAGGCGTAGGCCCAGAGCTCTATCATTCCACCATCTAGTACTGTTGGCTACGCAAGTCTCAAGAGCAGCCCAGATTTAAAGGCTGGGAAATATATTCTACATCTTAATGGGAGGCACTACAAAGTCACTTTGCAAAAAGTGTGACTACAAGAAGACCAGTGACCAGGGCCATGAGGGTCACCAGTCTTTAACAGATGTGTTGGAAGATTTTTGTGCTGGAGGGCACCTCTCATGTTTATGATTAATAAATACACACCATTTGGCCATATTGGCAAATAGCATTAACTTAGAAAACCATAAACAACTTCATAAATTCCATGTTATTGGAAAAGGATGGAGCCAGATCTTGTGTAAATACATTTTGCAGAGATTACCTGGTGTAGTAAATAGAAAGAGCATGAGCTTTGGAATTAGGCAAACCTGTTTTATTATTGTTGTTTTGGGGTTTTTTGCTTGTTTTTTAAATATGGTTGTTAAAAATTGGTTTTAGAGAGAGATGAAGGAAGAAGGACACAGAGAGAGAAACATCCATTGGCTGCCTCCTGCAAGCCTCCTACTGGGGATTGAGCCTGCAACCCAGGCATGTGCCCTGACCAGGAATCAAACTGGTGACCTCTTAATGCATGGGATAATGCTCAGCCAACTGATTCACACTGTCCAGGGCCAAACCTGGGTTTTAATAGGGATGCTACCACTGAACTGTGCAACCCTACTAACACTAACTAGTCTTAGTTTTCTCATCTGCAAAGGAGGGACAATAAAACCTTCATAGGGTCACTAGGAGGATTAAGTGAGGTAATAAGTTCATGGCAGTGCCTGGCATTGATCAGGTTCTCAAAAAGATTGATTCCCATGTGAATATTAATTTATCTCCCCCATACACACAGTAGGTACTAAACTTCTCTCTTCACCACACCATCTCCTCCAGTTTCCTGAACTCTAACCAGCTTTTACATGTGTGTTGTTATTAACGTAGGGTACCAGAGACCAGAATATTTCAGAATGGAAGTCTCCTTATAAGGGAAGCCCTTTGATTTTAACAGAAATGCTGTTTGCTTTCAAAGCAAGACTGAAGAGCAAGGAGTCCAGGAAGCAGATTAGCTGGCATCCCATGATGAAATCTTGGCCATTCAAGCTGTGGCTGCAGATAAACCAAAGTTGGGGCTCCACCCATGCTTTGATCAGAACCTCAAGACAGTTGTCTCATGCCACCTCTACCCAGGCTGAGCCCATTTCCTCCTCTCATGCCACCTCTTTATCTTGTTCCCACATATCATTGAAGCAGATCTTACTCTGCCATTTCATTAATTTGCCCCTGGGCCTGTCTCTTCCATGAGACAAGTGAGCCTCATGGGGGCAGGATTTGGCTCTGTACCTCCAACACACAATTGAAGGCCAAGATCAACAATAGCCTCAAAAGTTACCATGACTGAGTGCTTATGGATGCCTCCATTTACATGTCTTTGAGTCTTTCCTCCTTGTAGGGAAGCAGAAATCTTACCCCATTTTTAACAAGTGAGGCACCTGGGGGTGCAAGGAAGTTAATTATGGTCCCTAAGCTACACAAGTAGAAAGTGATAGAACCTGAATGGGAACTCAGCTCTGTCTCAAGTCTCTGAATTAATGTGCTTTATTGCCTATTGTCAGACACTTGGTAAACGAATTTGTTGAAAGCAAGAGATGTCTCCAAATGCTGCAAACCAGGTCAGCATGCCCTTCTGAGGCTTCCAGAAACCACAGGAAGGGTTTGGGGATGAGTAAGTGAAGATAGACTCACCATTTAAAGACATATTAGTGATAGAATTAATTTAAAAACTGTAAACAATCTTATACATGTTGTGTCTATTTGAAAAAGCAGGAACAGATCATGTGTAAATACAATTTTTGCTGTTATGCCTCAGGCTAAGGGTCAGGGGAACAGGAAGTCTGGCTAAACCATACTCCTTTCCCAATAACCAGCGCCCCAGCCTCCAACCCCACCCCTTGCCTGTGTTGACATCTGGCCTTCAACACCAGTAGCGTGCCTGTTGGGGCTCCAATAACCCGCCTCCTCAGCCCCACCCCGTCAGGCTTGCAGACTACTTGCTCACCGTGTGATGACTACACTTTTCCAGCAGCCTAGTCCAAACCACTTCCTCCTTCTTCACTCCCGAAAGAGGAATGGCAAGAACCTTAGGAAAGGCAGCTAAAGTTTAGTTAGAAAATGGTGGCCTTTAAATTAAAACCCCCAATTCAAACCCAGCCCCTGACACTTACTCCCTGTATGAACTTATACGAGTTATTGAATGGCCCTGTGCATGTTTCCTCACCTATAAAATGGGAATAGTGATTACTACCAGAAAGACTGCCAAGGGATTAAACAAGATAATGTATGTAAAATGCATGGAAGATAAGCATACACAGGTGTTCCTTTCTCCTTCCTGCCATCTTCAATGTTTTTCTTGTGCGAATACACAGTAAGGATGCAGATAAAATATGAATCATGATGTAGAGTAAGTCAAGGTTATTCCAAGAATTTTCTGAGCCCTTCGCAAACCTTTCCAAGAATCTGGGTCCTAAAAAACTACCCCCAAATGGCCATCAGAAAGGAAAAGAGGTTCCCTCTGTTTTCTGGGGAAGCTTGGAATATGCAGGCTTATTATCGCCAGCATCTCACTACACAAAGGCGCGGCCAGAGCCAAGCTCTGGGGTGGCTCCTACGTGGGCAGAGAGAAGAGATGGGGTGGGAATTCCAGGGCCTCGCTCCAGAGATCCTGGGCCCACACCTTGGGAACTTTTCCCCG